CACTGATGCGCATGGATGAGCTTGGAAAAATGTTCTTTTTATGAAATTATTCAACTTTGGCTGAACAGCGCTTTTTCCCGTCTCTAATATGGAGACGCATGACGCAGTCTGAGGCAGAATAGCTCTTCAGCTCAGAAAGCACCTGTAGAGACATTTGATCATGCACAAAGTTTATGTGGAGCAGAAGCGGTCGGGCCACGGCAGGTGAAACGTTCCTAGCCTACATGAAGTGAAACTGTTTAATTGTAACATTAATGTGTTACTGGACATGCAGGTCTGGTTGGTTAGACCAGTGTTGGAAGTGGAAAACACACACACACACACACACACACACACACACACACACACACACACACACACACACACACACCACACACCAATTAAAATAATGCTGATGGACTAGAAGACAGGTGATGGTTTTATTTAAATGATGATCAGGCTGCTGTAAAATGTAATCTCCATCCACATACAGACAGAATGATCCTCTATTCTATTTGCTCTGCTCTTGTCTGGACTGATGTAGCTGACGGTGCGCACGGCGCGCCTAACGGCTGTGGTGCACATTTTACGCATTTGGAGAGGTGGGCTGGATCCTTTGCTTTCACTGGAAGATGGTCCACTTAACGCACGGGTGTAGACTACATTTTAATGACAAATGAATGAAAATTAAATTGGGAGTTTTTACTTCATATTTTAGAAATAAAAATGACGTGGGAACACATTTATGACGTCTTTTTAAACGACATTTTCTAGCGCGACCTGCCTGCTTCACTTAAGTCACTGCTTATTAAGGTCCGTCCAAAATTACCGTGGCCCACCCAAAAATGAAAACCTGGCACCTCGCCTGTTATAAACCTCTGCAAATTGTTGTTCTTCACGTTATCAAACTCAGACTTTGTACAGCTAATGTCAAGATGTAAAATTATGAATTCAGTTGAGCTCTTCCGTCCCTCCCTCTCCTGCTCTCTGGAAACCCGACATCAGCTGTCAGAAGCGGGAGGTGAAGAAGGAGATGAGGCAAACAGAGTGAGTGCGACGTAAAGAAACCAGACTGGTGTGGAGGTGAGCAAAACAGCTGGAAAAGTGTGGGTGTTGAATCCCCCACGGGTGCGATGTCCATGCTGTCACTTGGTTGTGAGCAGCTCTCTGCTGTCTGAGGGTAGGCCCCGCCCACAACGCCGCGGCTGCTGCGGTGTTTTCTTTACTGTAGGAAACGGGTAATAATGGCTCTTTGATGGGAACAGGTTGCCGACCCCTGGTATAAGATCTGAGCTGGTAAAACAAAAATCCTCATCAGCAGGCTTTTTTTGAAAGTGGGGGGGGGGGGGGGGGGGGGGACACAGCTGCCAATCACAAATTTTGCAGGGGACATGTCCCCGGCGTTCCCAGTTAAAATGACGCCTATGTGTACCGCATTACTCCCAACACTGCCCCTTACACAAAATTTTCGACAATCTTACCTTTAACTGGATTTGCGAAACTCTCCCCTCTTCTGACATGAATTATTTTCCCTTTTTATTAGTCCTCTTTTTCCTGTATTTCCCTCCCTTTGAGCGCTTTCAATATTTGCTCTGCTTTCTTTTTCCTGTCAGTGCTCCTGTGCTTTTGCCTTTGTTTTTTTTCTTTCTATTTTCCATTTTGGTCCATGTTTTCCTCCCTTTAAACATTTTCCATTGTCTTTCCTTTCTGCTTCCTTTTGATGTTTACATCGAAAAACGACGTCACTTTCAGAAGTGAAGATAAAAGCTTTTATGAAGCAAGCTGCTTCTTTCTCTTATTGGAGCCACTAGGATAACTCAATTTCATGCTTAATGTTTTGGCTATCGCTTTGAGTTTTTTACGAATGCTCCCGCCTCTCTTCTTATTATTATTTGTGGTCTTATGGCACTTGGCAACAAACCATTTGGTGCATTACCACCACCAACTGGATTGGAGTGGAATGACTACCAATCACTTCCTGTTTGTGCATCACCGTCTTAATAACCCTCTTATGACCATAATTATAACAGGGCCGCATGGTATTTTTTTTAATCTTATGGCTGTAAATTTGTAATAAAAAGTGCAAAGTGTGTGTAACTCCTTTTTTCAGAACAACCTCAGCTTTCAGTGTATGGTTTGTATTTAGAATTTATTTGTATTAAAGCCTTTAAAAAATTTGCTTAAAGGTGAAAAAAGCAAAAAATGATTAGAATTTTTTACATTTATTACTGAACAGGAACTTCAAAATTACTGGGCAAACAATTTGGAACGAACACTTTAAACTTGGAACTGTAATGCATCTATTCTTAAAAAAGTTTGAACCTTGGTATCTTTTTTAGCAGTTTTTAAGACCATTTATTTTTGTAAACTTTCAGACGGTTTTGTTTGATGTGGTAGACCTTGAAGCAGTTTCTCTCCAGCTGCAGGCAGAGTCCCACTCTGCACACCTCCCACTACCATGGGGTGCTTCTCTTGCACACCGTACACTGCTATACCAAAAAATTTTGTTTTAGCAAAATAATCATTTATTGTAAAAAGATAAATAATGCTGGAATGAAGCTGAATCTTTCAATTAGAAAATAGTTGAGGGTTGTTCAAATAAAAAAATAAAAAATAAAGACTGAGCAAACATTCATACCCTGGTTCACCGGAGATCTGTCCTTCTTCGTGGTCACTGTCTTCAGATATAAGCCTTCTGGGACACCTAATAGATCGTGTTGTTTTTCTTTGAGGCATTTCCATAATCTCATGCCGGCTTTTTATGCTTATTAGCTTCCCTGTTCCGTTATCCACTTTCACCGCTGAGCTGTGCTCCTTTTCAATCAGGCTGTACAGCAGGATTTCCCCTTGTAGCGATATTTTCCATAACTCTGATTGCTTCATGCTATAGATCATTGGAAAACTGCTTTTATTTACTTTTAGGAACCGTTGGAATTTGTTGAATCTGATAGGCCATTGAATAGTTATAAAACGGAGCATTTTGGATGACAAACTCAGCACGTCTCTGAATCTGTGTTGTGATTGTTGCGCTCAAGACAGGGAATGCCGTTGGCTACCGTAATGCATTGTATATGTACGAAAAGCCCCATTTTTAATCTTTTCAGCACTTTTTGAAATTTAAAGGGGCATTATGGAAGTTTGACAGCCAAAACATGTATAGAAATAATACATTTCTTCTTAATACATTCTCCTGAAATGCCCTGGTCCTGTAGAATGAGCCCTGGCATTTTTATTGTGATTGCCTATTTTTCTGTAAAATCACAGAAAAAGGGAGCTGCTCGGGTCGTGCAGGCTGCTTCATGCGCGTTCACGCTCAGGCACAGCCCTCCGAACCGTTCTTTGAACGTTGTTTCAGCTGTCATCAAGGATATAAATGTTACAGATGAAGAAGATGCCACTGGTGATTTAGCTCGCCTAGTAAATTGTTGCTTTTGTGCAGATGACCTGGGTTTGATTCTTGATGTGAACATAGTTGTTTCAGAATTTCGTTTTTACAATAATTATATATTTTTTTACAGTAAGATGCCCAAATTTTTATTTGAGACTCGCCGAACGGCATTGAATTCACAGATAAAAAAAAGATGTGGCTTCAACTTCATTTTGGAACAATTTTTCAAGTAAGGGAATGGAATTATCTGAGCATGCAGGAGAACTGACCCATCATAAACCTTTGCTGAAGAGAAAAGTACAGAACCAAACTATTTAATTAATTTGCTGCATGTTCACCTGTCCTCTGTCCTACACACACACACACACACACACACACACACACACACACACACACACACACACACACACACACACACACACACACACACACACACACACACACACACACACACACTGTGAGAGACACACAAGGGAACAGGAGTCTGAGCACTTCCTGCAAATCAATACATGACAGCAGCAGCAGTTATCTGTCCTGAAAATAAAGTCATACAAATAAAAATACAACATTTATCATTTTGTATTCAGATTGACAGTAAATGATTAAACACCCCTTATTTTTAAATAATGAAACACATTATGGAAAATCTGTTTAATTAAAATGGATAAAACTAAATGCAGCATTAATTAATGTGTGTGTGGTCCATTGAAAAAAGCAGCTTAGTTTCCTCCACTTCATCACAAAAGAACAAAAGCAATGGTTCAAACATTTTATGGCCAAAATACTTTTAAATAATTGAGTTTTTCAGCTTACAAACAAAAACAAAGAATATGACTAAAATATTGTATATTTCATAAAATAATAATCAGTGTTATTTTGTAAATGTCCCAGTCTCTAACTGACCCAGACCTGGAGGATCTTCTACAACACAACCAGGAATCAGATGTATTAAATAAGCACAAACATCCATACGATAAATGTTCTGTTGATGGTACAAAGCATCAGGCATAAGGACCACAACACCACAACATCAACAGGTCACCAGTGGACATGTTTAATTGTAATCAGAACTATAACAACAAAGAAAAAAAGATTCAATTCAATTCAATTCAAAAAATACTTTATTAAGCCCAGAGGGAAATTTATTGCTTTAGTAGCTCAGAATAATAATAATAATCAAGTCATCAAAGCGTTATTGTATATTACAATGGCTGTTGGCAGGAAGGATCTCCAGTAGCAGACAGTGTTGCAGCGAAACTGAAGAAGCCTCTGACTGAAGACACTCTTCTGTTGTCGGACAGTCTTGTGAAGAGAATGCTCAGGGTTGTCCATAATTTTCTTGATTCTCTGGAGAATCCTCCTTTGCATTATCTCCTCCAGTGGTCAATCAGCTGCTACCGATGTTAAACCAGCTTGTTGCCATGGTTACGCATCATAACAAATGTTCAAAAACTTAAAAAAGCTGAAAAAAATAGCAGTAAAAATCCTCCAAGCTTCACAGCACCAGAAACAGAAAAGTAAAGTGTCCAAAAAATACAGTTTTTCTTGAGAAACTAGGAGAAAAAATGTCCAAGAAAAGGCATAACTTACATATAGTCAACAGAGCTACTCCAACATGCAGCCGCACAGAGCAGTGCAGTTACGGGAGAACAAAAAAAATAATGATAATAATGGTCAGGGAAACGGAATCTGCCAGCATCAGCTTCCTTTGATGATGTCATAAAGGGCACAGTCCTATATAAAGGGCAAACATAAAGCAGGCACACAGACAGCTTCATTTGCAGATTGGTTTTAGACCTGAACAGACCTACAATGGCTACTGGTGGACCACACGAGGGAAACATGGAGGTATTTTCAGACACATATGAAGCTGAATTAGACCAAAGATATGAGATTTTACAAAGAGAATTACGAGATCTGGAAGTCAAAAAACTAGTTTTTGGTAACCAGGAACGCGACTTTGAACAAAGGGTGGATGCGTTTGAGAAAAACATAGCTTGCATCAGGAAAAGTCTCCAAGAGGAAAGACAGAAATTGGAAACAAAAACGCAGGATCTGGAGAAAAGAGAATGCCACTTTGAGGATCAACAAAAGAAACTAACGAATCATGTTGATGAACTAAAGACTAGCTCTCAGAAAGGAAGAGATAATTTTGTTTCAACTCAGTTACTCGACGAACACAGAGTAAAGATTGAGTTGGAAAACAGGGAACTGCAGAAACAAAGACAAGAAATTCAAGATGAGTGGAATAAGATTAAAGAAACTCAAATTGCAAATTGTGAGATGGCCAAAAACTTGAATAAGACACAAGAGAAAGTCAGAGATTTATGGAAAGCTTTACAGGTAAGCGAAGAGAGATCAACAGAAGAAATTAACAACTTGAAAAGAGATCTGGAAAGACAGAAATTAGAGTTTATCGAATCTAAGGAACAAACAGAAAGGGAGTTAACTGCAGAAAAGCAGGCTCTCCGCGATGAGAAGGAGCGTTTAAACGCTGGGAAAATTACTCTACAGAACCAGATCGTTGAGTTTCAGACTGAATCAGAGCAGATCCGACAGATTCTGCTCAAAGACAAACTAGATGTTCAACTTCTGAGAGAAAATCTGCAGGAGGACAAATTGGAGGTAATGAAAACAGCAGAAGGGTTTGTGAAAGATTTAAACGAAAGTTTACAGGATTTGAAGGAGAAGCTGGAATTTCTGAGTCTTGAGAAGAGAAGTCTGGAGGAAGAAAAACAACGTTTCCTGATGACCAAGTCAGAATCAGAGAAGGAACAAGGGAGGCTTTACAAAATCCTCGAGGAAGAATTAGACAATTTGCATTTGGGAAAACAAAGTCTGGAAACACAAGTGATGGACTTTAGGGAAGAAATTGCTGCAGCAGGTAAGATCTTAAAAGAGAAGGAAACTGCTCTAGAAGAAGGGCTGGAGGGTCTGAGATTTCAGAGAGAAACTCTGGAGGAAGAAAAGACAAATTTCCAGCTAACAAAGTTCAGATCGGAAGAGGAGAATAAGGGAATACAGGCTTACCTCCAACAAGAGCTGAAAAAATTACGAGTTGGGCAACAGAGTCTAGACAAACAGATGATGGAGTCTGAACAGAGAAACATAAACTCAGAGCAGATCATTCAAGACATTCGACAGGTTCTTCAGGAAGAGAGAGACTGTTTAGTAATGCTCCGACAAAACCTGGAGGAAGAGAAACAACGTTTCCTGATAACTAAGTCAGAATCAGAGAAGGAACAAGGGATGATTTACAAATTCCTCCAGGAAGAATTAGACAATTTGCGTTTGGGAAAACAAAGTCTGGAAACACAAGTGACGGACTTTAGGGAAGAAATTGCTGCAGCAGGTAAGATTTTAAAAGAGAAAGAAACTGCTCTAGAAGAAGGGCTGGAGGGTCTGAGACTTCAGAGAGAAACTCTGGAGGAAGAAAAGACAAATTTCCAGTTAACAAAGTTCAGATCGGAAGAGGGGAATAAGGAAATACAGGCAAAAGAGCTGGAAATATTCCAAATTAGGCAACAAACTCTCATCAAACAGATGACAGACTCTGAAGAGAGAAACATAAACTCAGAGCAGGTCATTCAAGACATTCAACGGGTTCTTCAGGAAGAGAGAGACTGTTTAGTAACGCTCACACAAAACCTGGAGGAAGAGAAACTAGAGTTTATGGAAAAAAGGGAAGCAGAAACTCACCTTTTAAAGGAGAAACAACAAGCTCTGGAAGAAGGGGTTGAACTTTTGACTCAAGAGGTAATTAATTCTTTGGAAGCGAGAATGGATGAAATTGACAGACATGTTGGACAATGTTTCCAGCTTCTTCAAGAGGAAGAGGGGGATTTAGATCAGATTGTGCAGGAGCTGGAAGCAGCATTTTTAAATGTCGAAGACGAGCAGCCACCTGTGGAGGACGAGTCAGACAGTCCCACAGCTGCGTCTGAAGATCTGGGGGAACTGAATTTAGAAAAAACAGTGACTACCCAGGTACCCAGTGACGGGAACCCAACTGTTCCCAGTCTTCATGATGATAACGACGAGCTTCCAGAGAACCCCGGGCCTGCCCATGGGAGCGCTGAAGAAGAATGGGAGGCTGAAGAAGACTGGGAGGCTGAAGAGCCAACGCCTTCTACATCTGGCCTAGGATCCAGCTGGGACTATTCCGACTTCTACTAGAGACGACTTCTTCCAGAACACCAATGAAGATCAGAAAAGCATATAAAAGTGAAGTAGGGAGCTTGGCATGGGTTTAGATTTTTTAAAACTAGGAAACAGAGAATTTGAATCAGGAAAACGTAAAATTTTCAGAGAGAAGAAACTGAATGGGTGAGAGAGTAGATGCTGCAGACCTGCAGGAACAGGATTGCAGGCAGAGGAAATAATACGAGCAGCCAATCTAAATTTAGTAAGTAGTAACACACAGTAACACGAGGGGTTAAACAAAGGCTCAAAGTTTAGAAGAGCAGAAAATTAACCTGTAGTTCTTCAAGAGCTTCTGCGGGAGGAAATAGGAATGGGTTAAAGATTTTAGCTCTAACAATTACGCTTATCAGAGCTTCTAGTTTCCGTAGACTAAGAGTCAATACCTTAGATGGGTTGGCTCTTGATTTAAAATGCCACTACATTAGAGAGTTTTTACACTATGTGTCTAGGATGTAGCTTCTTCCACCACCAGGTACTAAAATAAAAACGAAGAAAAAAAAACGCAGCACAGGTGACATCTCAACCGATCAAATCATTTCTGTGTCTCCGTGTGCTGCGTGGGGGTTTTCTCTGGGTGCTCCAGTTCACCCCCAACCCCAAATCCTAAAATCCTGACACGTTAAGCCTAATTTATACTTCTCCGTCATCGCCACGAGGGAGAGGCACGCTCGCACGGATGGAGACAATTTGCCCTCAGACTTCTCCGTCTCCTGGGGAGTGTTGCAAAGCAATTCCCCGCTAGGACATTTAACCCTCTCAGGCTCAAAATAAGTTTTGATAAAAGGACAAACAACTAAATCCTTCAGGGGTACTTCTGAGTTAAAAGTGCTCACGAAACACGTATGTGGAGTAACCAGGTAGGTAGGCTTATACGTTGCAAATCTGCAACGCCTGCCTCCAGAGGGTTTAAACACGATGAAAATATACTTTCTATCAAACATCTCACATCAATCCAGTTAATTTAATAGGTTTTAAAGATCATTGTCACGGTTCTTTCATGGATCTGTATTTCTCTACATGGACTCATCATGTTTTGCTCCACTGAGCTTGTTGCAGGTGAGTGTGTCGGAGAGTCTCAGCTGTGGCTGATTTTCCCATCAGCAATTCAATTCAGTTCAATTCAAGTTTATTTATAAAGCGCCAAATCACGACAAGAGTCGTCTCAAGGCACTTCACACAGTAAACATTCCAATACAGGTCAGGGGTCTCATTTGTCAAACATTGCGTAGAATCCTTACTAAAACCGTACTGAAGCTCAGCAAAAAAAAAGTACTTACCCCAAGTAGGTTTGTGATCTATCAAACATGGAGTACGCACAGCTGCACGCAATCTCCGCTTCATAAATCAGAGACTAACGAGAATGTTTCTCAGCTGCATTTTAGTCACATCCTGCCCTCACCACGCCCACTTACTGCCATAAATAGTCAATGCAAAGTGCCTTGTGGATCTCATGCATACATAAGCCGGCTGTTGCAGCGTTCCGCCAATGACGATGGCGACCGTAGATCAAGGCAGATCAAGGAAGCGCAATTTCACAGAAGCAGAAATTGAGGTACCTGTTGGTGAGGTGGAGAAATGAAAGGAAGTGCTTTTGCAAAACAAATAAGAGAAAATCCACAGAGTGGCACAGTGTTGCTGAAGCCGTCAATGTTGTTAATTCTTCAGAGAGATCTGTGGCGGATATAAAAAAAAATGGTCCAATCGGGATTCGATCCCCAGACTACCAGGTGAAAGTCACACACGCTAACCAGTCAGCCAAACAGGAATCTCCCCTGTTCAACTAGCCAGGGCGCATGATCAATCGGGTCACAGTGAAAGGACACGCACTGTCAGACGCATGACATTCTGTCTCAATCTGCCCCCCTGCTGATATTCTGCATTCAGTATTCTGCGCTTCAGGCTGTGTGTGTGTGTGTGCGTGTGTGTGAGTGTGAGTGTGCACGTGCGTGTGTGTGTGTGTGTGTGTGTGTGTGGGGGGGGGGGGCTTGTCTGTGTGAAAACGAAGCTGTAAAAGAGATAATGCTGCTGGATTTCATAATTGTATCTTCTCAGCAGCAGCACTGCAGGTGCTGCCCATGTCCAACTTGTGCATAAGCCAGGTCCTTAGTCAGCTTAAAGTTGCGCACATTTTTCCGCTACGTTTTCTTTCATAAATCCTAAAGTTTGCGTGGAAAGTTGCTTACGCAGTTTTCCAACCCTGTTTTGTGCGTAATCAAGCTTGATAAATGAGGCCCCAGTTCATTAAGCCAATCAGTAAAAAGTTTCCTATACATACCAAGTAATGTTTCTATAGTTACATTGTGATTTCTTAGTAAATGTGCGTAATCACCACTCTGGCACAGGTAGAGGGTCTTAAATGCATTTTAATGAGTACTTAGAGATTGTTCTGTTTTTCTGGCACCAGGTGACGGTTGTTTCATGCAGTGGCGGATTTAGCAATTTAGGGGTCCAAGGCAAACACAGACATGGGCCCCTTACCAGTGTTGGGCAAGTTACTTCAAAACTGTAATACATTAATTATTACTTGTTACCCTCATTTTAAAGTAATTCATTACATTACAATATTACTGATTTTAAAATGTAAGGCATTACACTACTTTTGACTTACTCTAAGTTACTTTCAACAAAACAACTTCAGTATGAGTTTGGTAATCTGATGCCCGGTGAACTCATGACACATCCGGTGGAAGGTGATGTGGTGTCTGAGCTAGGACTGCTGTTAAAAACAGTTCTTTCGAAGGATTGTTTATGAAATAAATGAAACAACAATCTGTACTCTCAACATGCTGCCATCTTAGATTAACTGAGCAGGGAGTGAGGTGGTGGGGGCTCCAAGTCTATTTAGCCTTGGTCCCCAAATGCCTTGATACGGCCCTGGATGTGTGACTGGCTTCTGGGGTGATCTGATTCTATCACATGTATAAATATTGAATGCTTATATATTATTGCTTTTCACTGGTAAAAATGTGTATTGGGGATGAACCTACTTTTTTCTTTTCAAGCACTTTGTTTTGTTTTCTTGATTTTATTTGAATTATTTCCTGCCCTTTCTCTCTCTAACCTTCCTGCATGCTGCATGTTTTCTCCGTATTCCAGAAAAAACTGTTTCCTAGACTTTCTACTTTCTAACTATCAGCCAAAGGAATCTTCACATGTGCGGCGCTCCAGCAGCAATGAGTTAAAATCACCGGAGCCCAGATTAACTCAGCTGAGGCAAAGCACGTCAGAAAAGTACAGAATACCAGAGAACATGCGCTGATATGAACGATCGCAGGTGAATTATTTTGTTTTAGTGGAGCGATTTTGTGAATGTTGCAGCGGCCGCGTGGAGGATGCAGCTGGAGTATTTGAGCCGGGTGCAGAAAAGAACACCGGTACCGCTGCGTCCTCTCTGCCTGCAAAGCGGAGTCCATAAATGACGTAATATATGCAGATACTGGATCTTTCTTCGGGTTACCCGCAATTTGAATTTTTAAGAAACGCATCTTGATTCTGGGTTTAAAATGCATTGTAATTACCGCGTTACTGACAATTGTACCGAGTAAATATTACCATTTTTTCCCTGTAATGCCTTACATTACCACATTACAACAAAAAGCAATGCATTACAGTAATTAATTACTTCTGTACGACTCACTGGGGATCAAGAAGACAGAGCAGACACAGAAGAATACTTTGTTATAAACCATAATAACACGCTGGGGTTGAAATTTAAAACTGTAAACTACTTCCCTATAAAGTGTTAATTTCAACTCAGTGAATGTTTAAAGCATTTACAT